GTCTTGCACTTGAACTCCCACCATTTTATAAACTAAACTAAAATTCAACAAACAAATTTTATTATTCATGAAATAAATAATAATTGGGGTTAAATATTACAACGACAACAACAATAACAAAGCATTTTTCCACTAAAATACTAAAATAATAACCGCCATAAAGTAAAATAATAAAATAGTCAATTTTTGTCGGTTATAACCGCCATCATTAACTTAAAAACTGTCAGAATATGTAAAAATATTTAAAAAAAGATTCAAAAATATTGTCGGTTATATCCGACAGTATTTTCTTTCTATCTGCCAGTAATATCCGACAGGAATTGATGTCGGATATAACCGATAGGATTTTTATAATATCCGCCAGTAATTAAATGATGTGTCGGATATAATTTATCCGACAGGAGTTTCTAATATCTGCCACTTAAAACTAATATTGTAGTAGTGTCTAAGGTTTACTGAAAACAGGAAATCTGGGCTAAAGTGATTTCCCGATGTTTTTGGGCTTAGCTAATCAAGGTAATATTGATGTATAAGCATCCCTTGTGGACTTATATGGACTCATTACGTAATATATATGTGTGCGCGCGCGCTCGGGGGGCGGGGGGGCGGGGGGCGGGGGGCGGGGGGTGCTATTAGGATTGTATTGGTTCTATATGCTATAAATATAATGCTTCCCCATTCATAGAAATCAAGAAGATGTCAATCAATCATGTAAGTACAAATTTTGTGTTTTAGTTATGTAAACACTGCTAGGTAATAGTATTCCACTCCAGATGTAACCACCTCAAGTCTTCAAATTCTTAGTGTGAGTGAGAAAAAAATAGTGCAAGCAAATTTATACCTGTCATGTCTTGAGCATAGAATTTAGTAATAGTAAGATGTCTTTATGGTTGTAACTTTAATATCGCCGCCTCGAGAACATAGACACATAGCCAAAAATCCTTAAATTCCTTGGTCTCTAACGTTCAAAAGTTTATGACTGAAGTATGAAGAAAAAACTAAGCTTGAATCCATGTCCAGATTATCTCATAGTAAAAAATGAGTTGCCCACAAGTTTACTTACTAGAATATGATACTTAAATCCGAGATAGCTTATTTCTTTGACGAGTCTAAAATTTTGTTCGAGTTGAATTTGTTTCTTTTACAAAAACAAATTCGTTGATTAGAATATTGTTTTTATCATTTTAAAAAATATATAATAAAAAATTTTAAGCATCGATCATAATTTCGTACTTTTGTAACGAGTCTAAATTTTGCTTGAGCATTAATTCAGAGGAATCGAAGCTGAAATGAGCAAAAGACTAACCGAACACAGAATGTATTGAACCAAATTTGTAATCCTATGTACGAAAAATGCAAAAACTCTCTCGCTTTCCCAATTTTTATGTGGGGCTAAAGAACCATGTGAACATCACTTTCCTATTTATGTTGTTTTGTCACATGCATTGTATCCCCACCATGAACCACCACTAGAAGCCCATTCTCCTTTAATCCTTTAACCCACAATAAAAAAATATAAAAAATTAAATAAAAACAGAAACTACTAGTACTACGGTCTACTCATATTATTTTTTACATGTAAGTAGGTTATGTTTGACTCTTGCAAATACAACTTCGATTCTAAATTATTGCTGATTTATTGTGCGACTTAGTACAATTCATTTCCTTACATAGAAATGCTAAGGATATTCTCTCAAAAGTAAGATCCTCCATAGACTCTTTACCACCTCATAGTTTATGTCAATTCTCATGTCAACATTACAAAACATTGTGCCAAATAATAAGGTTGCAGAAAGTTCATGAAGAGTCTTACTTTTGAGAAAGTCTCCTTAGAATTACAGTATAGTTGTATGAAGAGAAAAGAACAAAAATCTAAGGACACCATCCTATCCCCAAAAGCAATTTAACATTCCATTTCTTCCACATAATCCTAGTCCATACAGCTAGCACCTTAACCCTTTCAATCTTTCCATTTCTTCCACATAATCCTAGTCCATACAGCTAGCACCTTAACCCTTTCTTTCTTCACTCATTCACCACCACTTCCACTACATACCAATAACACCTACATTCCGTTCATCACTCCTCCACCTACCAATTCCAGCAAGCCAACTACCTTTTCTATTCTTAGGGCAGGCATTTTTAAACATCTTTTTCTTTTCCCCTTTTCCCTTTTTGATTAATTGGTTGAGTTCTTATCAAAAGCTCTTTGATATATTCATTCTTTCTCCCATGCATCTTTATCAAACAGTTCAAGGTTATTCTATCACTTAATAACTAAGCCATGATTAGTTGCTAGATATAAACAATTACAAGTTGAATATCAGAGTGCGGAACAAACAAGACTACAAAATAATATGAATTTTATTGAACAAATTGAGAATGCCGAGACGGCTACAAAAACCCTAGAGACTACATTATGAATGACTTATTTTCTAATGAATAACAAAGCACCCTATTTATAATAAACTAACCCTAATCTCTAACAAAACCTAATTCTAACGGGCTAAGCCCAAAATACCAAACATTAAAATAAACTAAATAATAATATTTTCCAACACCCCCGTCAAACTCATGGCGGTTCACAACATGGGTTTGCCAAAGTAGATGTAGATGCAAACCTCCAAATTCCGATGCCGATGCCGATTCCAATTTCCGATGCCAATTTCAATACAAAATTTCACCGGTGCAAGTACAAGATTTCAATGCCAATGCAAATTCCAACTTCCGAACAAACAAACAAAAAACCATATTCAAAACCATATTTTTTCTTGGCCCGTGTGGGCCTAAGCCTCAAACCAGCCATACTTTTTTCCTTTTCTTTGCTTTGCTTTTCCTTTCCTTTTTTTTTTTTACATGGGGTGTTCTCCTGATCACGTAAAACAATGCAGCAATTCCATTCCAAATTGCAGACCGAGTTGGTGCGGATACAGTGCAACTGCTGAAGGGTGCAGAAAACGGATAGGGTGCTGATGAGACGGTGCGGTGCATATGCAGGTGGTGTCGATGCTGGTGGGAGATGCAGATTCAATGTGCGTATTCAGACGGCGATAGACAAATGAATATCAAACAAGCAGATTAAATCCCGAATGATCAAACCTGCTCTGATACCAAGTTGATTATCAAAGTGCGGAACAAATAAGACTACAAAATAATAGGAATTTTATTGAACAAATTGAGAATGCCGAGACGGCTACAAAAACCCTAGAGACTACATTGTGAATGACTTATTTTCTAATGAATAACAAAGCACCCTATTTATAATAAACTAACCATAATCTCTAACAAAACCTAATTCTAACGGGCTAAGCCTAAAATACCAAACATTAAAATAAACTAAATAATAATATTTTCCAACATTACAATGTTGAGAAATTAATTTAGAACTTTCATGGTCAGTATTTTTTTTTTTTTTTTTTTTGTAGAACATGATCATTATTTGATTATTGGGTTATGTAAATGTAGTTATGGCTTTTTGTTTTTAATAAGCATAAAGCTATTGGGTGAGAGATTTCTAAACCATAGAATTGAAAGTCAGGTTATAAAGAAAATACTTCATGTGAGCGTTATAAAGTCATATGAGAGGGATTAGCTTTCAATGTGTTATTTGCAAATCCTTCGTGTCTTTGTAATGTTTTATGGTGCATTTTCTACATATCCAGCATTTGGGGCACTTTAGATACAGTCCTTAATTATCATTATTTTTTTACTGAAACCTTGTTGGTTTTCAATTTTTGATTGAAATCCCTGAAATTAATGTGATAACGTAATTCTATGTATGTTACTATATTTTTTAAATTAAAAATTGAAATATATAGTTATTTATATTAATGAGATTTTAAATAATAAAAAAACTCATAATTTGTGGATTAAAAATATTCAATTATAAATTATACTCTCCAATATATTTTGTGTGTGTCTGTGTGTATAAACATGGGTACATTCATCAAAATTAACAAAAAAAATTGTTGTACCAAAATATTGTTACATTCTTCAAAACCACATAAAAACTAGTAGATATTAGGCTTAATAACATTAGTAAGTTTCTTCGATTAAACTTGATATGGATATATTTTCAAATAATTAAAAAAAATGTACCCATATAAGTTTAAAGATGTATTAGAAATAAAAAAAAATTGAATAAATTTTATATAAAAAAAAATGGGTACATTTTGCATACAACAAATTGGTATAGTACATTTTAAGATTAAAAAAATTGAAAAATTACATGAATGTGTACATATAAGATTAAAAATTTGAAAGCCTTTTTCTAAAAAACTTGAGGGGTACAAACTTATTCTTTTTTTTTTGGAAATTTTTTGAATTGAAAATTAGTTAGGAGTTTAATAAAGGTGTGAGTATTAAAATTCTAAATCAATTATTAATTTTTATTTTAAAAATTATGTAATTGACATGTAAATTCATTATTGCATTGATGCTAATGACTATGATCAAAATTTGAAAACTAATAAAGTTTCAGTCAATAAACATTAGTAACTAGAGACCGGATAATAATTTTTCTTTTTTTTTAATTACAGTATAAGTCTGGTTCTAAAGCTGTGAGACTTGTTTCATTGCTTAACCATATGAAATTGAAGTGAACAATATACATAACGTGTATCTACGCTTAGGAAATTAGATTGTATAAGATTTGGAAACACAAACAAGAATGAGGGGGTCTCTCTTTATTCTTAAAGTCCTCATGAAAATGCTACAAAACAAGAGCTGCTATTAATTAAGTACATCCAACAAATTGTGTCCTCCAAACTATCATCACCCTCCTTTCACAAATTATCATAACATGGAGCTCCCAAAAGTCGTCAACAAAAATCAAAAATAAAAGAAAGGGTAAAAAAAGTTTTAAAAGAAGAAATATGGAAAACAAAGAATACACATAATGATGATATACCATCTCTAATCTACATGTAAATATCAAACGAGGGCCTTTTTGTGATTAAAAAAGTAGTGCAAGTCCACCCAAGAATGCCACCAAGGCCATGCTACTTCCATGCACAAAACCTGAGTTTTGAGTTGGGGTTGGTGGCATCATCATAGGCGATGGCGTCATCATAGGCGGCGGCGTCATCATAGGCGGCGTTGCCATCATAGGCGGCGGCGTCATCATAGGCGTCATCATAGGCGGCGGCGTCATCATAGGCGTCATCATAGGCGGCGGCGTCATCATAGGTGGCGGCGTCATCATAGGCGGTGGCGTCATCATAGGCGGCGGCGTCATCATAGGCGACGGCGTCATCATAGGCGGTGGCGTCATCATAGGCGACGGCGTCATCATAGACATTGGCGGTGGTGCCATCATAGTCATCGGCGAAGGTGCCATGGTGATGGGCGTTGATGGGGTGGAAGATGTCGGTGCTACAACAGCAAGTGACATTGTGAGGAAAAGCATGGCACGTGTGAGGGCCATGGCTCTGTCAGAGTTGAGCGCCAGAGAGAGAGAGGGAGAGTTAGGGTTTGGTTTAGGAAGAGGTGAGAATGAGTGAGTGGGAATTATATGAGGAATAGGGGTTGGAGATATATAGAGAGTACAGGAGTAATTATAAAATCTTTTTTGTGGCAGACATTTGAGTGCTTAGAATTTCATGCTATAAGGGCAGATGGTTGATTTGATTTTGTTTGGCCAATATATATGGAGAATAACCTTTTCTGTGGTTTGGCAATATTCTACAAAGTGCATCGATTTGATTTTTTCGCTAAGTGTTTTAGGTTCGTTTGATAGCTATTTCATTTTTATTTTTCATTCTTGATACTAGAAATAAAAGAAAAAAAATGTGTAGGAAAACTGAGGAATGCAGAATGATGAAAACAGCTTAAATTTATATTTTTCAGCCTTTTATTTTCAGTTTTCATTTTGTGTTTCATTACATACGTACATATTCCTTTCATATATTTTTCTACCCCTCCTCTCACCTTTCTCCATTCCTCATTTCTCCGACATATTTTTCCTCTATTTATAGCATAAAATATGAAAATTAAATAACGAATTAGTTATCATACTGTACCTTTATAATTTAGGCCGTACATAACAAATTATTTTGGCATGGTATATTTTTATTATTGGAATTAGAAGAGTCAAACATTAAACTTTATGCGTCGCATTTGGTGTAAATTAAAATAGCGCTTCAATGAAAAGAGTTAGTGAATCACTTTGGCATGCTTCATTTACTCAACAGGAAAATATGTTTCTTAGAAACATTAAATAAAAGTGCCATGCATACCTGTGGCAGGAACAATTTTTCATGACAGATGATAAAGAAAGAGACTACAGAAAGAGAGAGGAAGATGCACAAGGGTTTGTGGTGGACGTTGATTGTATTAATTTTTCTTTTTTCCTTATTTTAATTGTTTCCACTTATTTGTAGGGTGACCCTGAAATCGCAAGTCTTTTGGGGACTTCGTCCTGCGGACCACGTTAGTGGAAAATACTTTTCTCTTTGCACAACTTAAAGACTTGCTGGGTTGCATTAAGGGTATCCATCCTTTGCCCCACCAAACTTGCAAGGGAATCGCAATGACAAAAGCATCCCACCAACATACAATAATTTAAAGAAACCCCTCCATTTTAATTAGTATAGTTTTACATGGCATGTATACATTTCTTCTGGACTTGAATTATGATTAGTTACGATATCTACTCAATATGCACTGAGCTTGCAAGTATTCTTTGAAAAATCTAAGTTGTGTTATAATGTTATGTTGTTATACTGGAAATTAAGGTTGCTATTCAAGTAAATACGTGTGTGATTCAATTTATTGAATTAATAATACAATATGTCTGCTAATCAACCCTATATATTTCAAGGACGCTTTTTGTTTGCTTTCACATATGCACATTTCGTGATTTCACACTTTATAGAAAAATACTTTAAACTCAATATATCAAGGAAAGGGATACTTTGGATACATTTCCTAACTATCAATGTTCTTTGACTGAAACATTGGTGGTTTTTAGTTTTGGATTAAAGTCCCTAACATTAATATAATAATATATTTCTATGTAAGTTATTATATTTTTAAATTAAAAATTAAAATATATAGTTGTTTATATTAATTAGATTTTTTTTAGTACATCGATATTTTTACACTAAGGGGAGGGGGAGTTCGGCTAAGCCACACAATGGGCAGCCTAATTTGTTATCGAATTCGTCATTTACGATATTCAAACCTAAGACATCTCACTTCCAAATAAGAAGAATACTACCAGACCATAGTACGGAGTGGCTATATTAATGAGATTTTACATAAATCCCATAATTTTTTAGATTAAAAATATTAAAGGATAAATTATACTCTCCACCATATTGTGTGTGTGTGTGTAAACATGGGTACGTTCGTTAAAACTAACCAAAAAATAATAAATATATATATGTATATAAACATGGGTACGTTCGTTAAAACTAACCAAAAAATAATAAATATATATATGTATATAAACATGGGTACGTTCGTTAAAACTAACCAAAAAATTATTGTACCAAAACATGAGTACATTTTTCAAAAACACAAAAAAATAAATAACAAATACTCAGCTTAATAACATCACTAAATTTCGTCCATTAAACTTGACATGGATACATTCTCAAATCAATAAAATAGAATGTATCCATATAAATTAAAATTTTGAATTAAAACAAAATTGAATGGATTTTATATTACAAAAATGGGTACATTTATATTGAAAAATGGCACATTTTATATATAACAAATTGGTATATTTAAGAATGGTTACATTTAATATTAAAATAAATTGAAAAAAAAATATGAATGAGTACATTTAAGATTTAAAAACCGAAAATATGTTCATAAAATGGGTACAAACTTATTCTTTTTTTTTTTTTTTTTTGTGTGGAAATGTTTTGCATTAAATGTTACATCCCACATCACCTAGGAGAGTGGATCCTGTAAACCTTATATGTATATTCTCATCTCTACATAGCACGAGGCCTTTTGGGAGCTCACTGGCTTCGGGTTCCATCGGAACTCCGAAGTTAAGCGAGTTCGGGCGAGGGCATTCCAAGGATGGGTGACCCACTAGGAAGTTCTCATGTGAGTTCCCAGAAACAAAACCGTGAGGGCGTGGTCCGGGCCTAAAGCGAACAATATTATGCTACGGCGGAGTCGAGCCCAAGATGTGGTGGGGGCCTGGGCCGGGATGTGACAATTTGGTATCAGAGTCATTTCTTAGCCAGAAGTGTGCCAACGAGGACATCGGGCCTTTATGGGGGGTGGATTGTTACATCCCACATCGCCCAGGGGAGTGGATCATGTAAGCCTTATATGTATATTCCCATCTCTACATAGCACGAGGCTTTTTGGGAGTTCACTAGCTTTGGGTTCCATCGGAACTTTGAAGTTAAGCAAGTTTGGGCGAGGGCATTCCCAGGATAGGTGACCCACTGGGAAGTCCTCGTGTGAGTTCCCAGAAACAAAATCATAAGGGCGTGGTCGGGGCCCAAAGCGGACAATATCGTGCTGCGGCGGAGTCGAGCCTGAGATGTGGTGGGGGCCCGGGCCGAGATGTGATATTAAAAATTAATTAGGAGGTTAATAAGGGTGTGCATATTAAAATTCTAAATCAATTGCTAATTTTTATTTAAAAAAATTATGTAACTGACATATAAATTCAATAATACATTAATGCTAGGGATTTTGATCAAAATCTGAAAACTAGTCAAGTGAATCAATGATAAGGTTTTTTTTCTCCAATTAAATTCTTAAAGTGTTAATTATTTTTATAAAACATACAATTTTCCGGTACTTTTTTTTTTCCTAATTTACTATTTTACTTCTCACCCAACACCGTCTTTCCCTTCTCCCACTTTTCTCTTTCTAAATTTCAAGTTTGTCTTTATCTAGCATGAACCAGCTCATATCATCAATCAGAATCTATAACCGTTGAACCTTAATTTAATCATTGAATCTTTAGCTAAAGATTAACGATGGTTGATCTCAGTCCATACTATGAACCAATCTATTATACAATTTTCACCCATAATATATTGGCATAGAAGAAGTAAAAGAAATTGTATTAGCACTCCAAAAATCTGATTTTGCACTCCTCATACGTGTATTTTTCTTTCTAATTATAGAAAGTTAAGTGCAAAATGAGATTTTTTTAGTGCTAATAACAATTGTTGAAGCAAATTCTCAACTAACAGTCTAAGACCAGTTACTACTTTATGGCCAACAACTGAAATTATTTCATTCCATCAAAGACTTAGAGCTAGTCAAGTCAAGAAACTCAACTAAAAGAAAAATCATTAACATGTTTATAAACTTTTTCTTGTTGAAGATTACCATGGGAGCTTTATCACCTTTAGACCAAAACCAGTCCACTTGCTCCACGCTCTAGTTGTAGCCATGATGAAGAGGATGCAAGTGCAGTGATATGTGGTTCCAATTTTTGCCCCAAGACCCAAGCCACCGGGCACTAGTTATGTAGCCATAAACTTTGTCGTGTAATGCCGCTGGCTAGCGTGTTTGTTTGTGTGTTTGAGCATATGGAAGGTGAAAATTTTAGGCAGGAACTTCGTCACTACATAACAAGATGAGGAGAGAGGTATTATCTACACAATTCCGATGATGTGACAAAAAAGTCTTCATCGATGTTTTGCTCCTAAAAAAAGGTGTTGGAAAATTGAAACTTGTGCTTTGGATTATGGTTTCTAGATGGAAATTCAAAGCACCACAATGCGATGCTGCTGCCAGCGGCTTAGCAGTTTTGTGTGGAATGAGTGGATAACAAGAAACGGAGAGCACTACAAGTTGCAGTAATAGTTCCATGCCTTCATCCTGAATGCTATCAACTTTCTATCAAAAGCAATCCTGACTTTTCCACACAAATCATTGGAATAGTTCTGAAATTCACGTACATGAGCAACATTGACCTTAAATTAAAAGGAAACTAATGAAAAGGGCTTGAAAACTTTGAGTTTTAATGATAAAGACAAAATAAATGGTAAAGTGAATAGTACCAGGATTGACTTTTTAGTGTAAAAATGTGGTTTTTCGTTAAAGTGAACAGTACCGGGTGCTTTTCGTTAAAGCTCCCTAAATTAAATTTAGAACTCTTGACACAATTTAATACAGAGGAAATTGTAACAATAGTCCTTCAACGTGCAATTATGGCCTTTTTTATCAATTCTGTCAGAACTTCTTTCAAAATGATTCACGTGTCAAGCACGTGAGGTTGAATCAATGGGCAAATATAGAAACCCAAATGAGAAAATTGTAACAATAGTGCGTCAACTTTAACCCAATTGTAGCAATGATCATTTCAGCATGACTCATTTTGATAGAAGTTGGCAGAGTTGGCGAAAAGAACCATAACTGCACGTTTTGATAAGTTAATGGACAAATGGTCATAACTTTTAAGTTAAAGGACTATTGCTCTAATTGGATTAAAATTGAGGAACTATTGGTACAATTTTCTCATTAATATAAAATCCTTTTTCTCATAAAAAGTATATTATGCTCTCCAACTATTTTGTAATGATGCTATGGTGGGTTTAATCAAAGTTGATTAAAAAAAAAAGGTCACACTATTTTTGAATGTGAAAATTTAAGATTACAAAAGAATTCTAAAATAATATAATTTTATTTGTGAATTTTTTATTTTTTATTTTTTAACTAATCTATATGTTGATGCACAAAATCAACGATACTCTGGAACAATGTAAAGTGTCAAGTTTGTGACATTCACTTGGTTGCTCCGATCACCTGATGAGGATAATATGTAAAGGGATAGAGATAGGGAAGTAAACACAAGATGTACGTTGTTCTCATTAATAGTGAAGGGCTACACAAATATATAAGTTTAAGCATAATCATCATTAGTGGGTTCTAATGACTAGTTTAAGTACAATAATGACATTCGGGCTTAATTGTAGGACAATGGTCTTCTTTTATAGTTGAGGAGAGTCTCCAA